AGGTTCGTAAAACTGAATCAACTAAAAAGTTATTAGGTTTATTATAAATCTAAATGAACTTAAATTGAAGAGAGTGGGCAACGCAATGAAGAAAAGGTCATGAAGATATATAACGTCTGCCTTTGGTCACGTAGACGGAGTAGCGAAGGACTACGATAAAGAGAAAAGAAAGTTCTGATATTTTAAAAAAATTTTGTGTTTGTTTTTCATTGGTTATCACGTGTATTTGTCTTGTCAGATAGCGTTCGTGTGTTTGTGTATCATAATTCTAGTTGGTTGTCTGTGTCTGAATGGTGTTAGATGCTAGGCCTAGAATGGCTGGACACTGAAAGTTCAATCTGTCATTACTGGACAGGCGGAACTTTCGGCAACAGCTAACTAGATTAGTGCAGCGGGAAAATTTTTAAAAATCCATATTTGATCCCTATTCATAAAGTGTGTATACAGTCAAGTACGCGTGCTTCTCTCTCTCTCTCTCTCTGTGTGTGTGTGTGTGTGTGTGTGTGTGTGTGTGTGTGTGTGAAGGAGAGAGAATGAGAGTGAGATAGAGATAAAAAGAACCTCTCTTAGGAATGTATGTATGTCGGTGATTATATGTTGGTCAAAAGTAGAATTCCTATGCATTTATTTATATATACATATGCAATGAATAACAATACACATGCTTCTTTACGCGCCTAAACGCGTGTACGGATGGATATGTGTATGGTTGAGGCGTAAATATATACGCTTTTATTTATATTTTAACTTTTTAAGCTATGTGTTTGTATACAGATTTTTGTGTAAGTATGATGCCGTGTTTCACGAATATAAAGCTTGATTCAATGATGTCTATATAGACTAACAGTAGAGTCATCGGATTCTGCGCTGGTGATGGTCATTTTTTTATATACATTTTCTTCTTACAGTTCTCGCTCTTTTTTTCTTCCTTCGCTTACTGGCATTCATTCTCTTGACTCCATTTATCTCCCTCTCTTTCCATCTTATCATTTTTTTCTCTTTGCGTCTGTCGTCATCTCTCTTTCTGTCATACTTCTTTTTGTCTTTTTCTCTAGCTCCACTCTCTGTTTCTCTTTCTCAGTATGTGCGTGTGTTCGTGTGTGTCAGTGTTTAATGATCAGGCCTCATTTATATCCAATTATTGTCACTCTTGCTTTCAGCCCACAAAACAAAACGCTACTTATTAAAAAAAAAAAGGACATTTCTTCCTTTCTTTCACTATATTGACTGTTTCATTATCATTATTGCATTTTTCATGGCTTAGGCTATTCAACGATCTATTAAGGCCGTGACATTTGGCATCTAGCAAAAATTTAACTCTTTTCTTCTTTTTGCTTACAAACCAACGATTCATATATTTACTTCAGCAGACTAACTTTACCATATCACAGTCAGTTGTTAATATTGCTTCCCCAAAACACAAGGAGAGATTATTTTTTTTTGTTTTTGAGAATATATCGGCTGTCGACCCCACTTTCACGTCTGTCGAAATCGTACACATTTTATCTCATATTTTTTCTCTCTTTCTTACCATTTACTCAAATTACTACTGATTTTCGGCTATTATTACCAAGATAAACAAACACCATATCTCTTTCTATCTGTCTGAACATGACATATTACAATTGTTTCTTTTTAAAGTGTCATGGTTATAAATTTAAGAATTTATAAGCATTTTATATTCAGTTCAAAGCTTTGATCGAGTCGGAATGCGGGCGTCGGAAAAATATTTCACGCCTCTTGAGTTCAGTTAGCAATTTATCCTTCCCTCTCTTACTCAGTCTTTCTCTCTTTCTCTTTACCGGGGGTGTGGGAGACTCAATGAAAACTTCTTTACATTAATAATCGTCTTCACATCATGATAGAAAACAAATACAATCTCTCATGTATTTTTAAAAGGAATTTAATTTCTATTTAACTCAATGTTTAATGAATGCAGATCAGGAGTTCACAAAGTGGTTGATATCGACCGATAGGCGTTTATGGAACTATTCAGGGCCCACTAAATAGTTGGGCCTCAAAAGAGGGCCGATAAATAAATGTGATGACTTATGACTAAAATTCATCAATTTCCAACTGAGTATCAAATGCCCTTGCTATGGCTCGTCAAACATATCTTTCCCATTGATGTCACAAAATCAATAAAAGGAAGGTTTACGGCCAAATAACGATGCAACATCGGTTCCGCGGTACGATCACTGAATTTAAGCAACGTCGAACCTGGTCAGTATGAGTGATGGTTTAGGAATACCAGGTGCTGTAAGCTTGTATGTGCGGGTGGCGTAATTGATAATGTCTCGGAATTGTTAATCGGAGTGCCGAGTTCCAATTCCAGTTGGGTTCGTTATATTCACTTACGCGCAAATACACTTGGGAAAGACATGAATCCACTTCTCCTCCTCCCCGAGCTGTAGGTTAATTATTAAGATTTGTATCACTAAACAATTATTATTTCCCAAAAGAATTTTTACAATCTAAAAATATTTCTGGCTTTAAAAAACCAGCAAAGGGTTGATAATCCGTAGAAGACTAATCAATCAATCAATAAAAGTGTATACTAATTTCTTTCTAATGTGTTTATTTTTACCTATATAATTTATGGAGGTAATTATTATTATTTTATTTCCTTTGATTTCTGGTGCGTACACATTTCTTTCCGGGTCCCAACCAGAGACCTAACGTTAGAAATGGCATCATGACATTTTCCACTGACCAATTAAAAAAACAAAAAAACAACAACAAAAAACACATATTTTACATAGATAAAGTCCTTCGCAAGGTGTGGGCTGTACTTATGAGAACAATTTTTTTATTTCTTTAAGGCATGGACTTCCAGGAATCCCTTCATGAGTCTACTGGAATCTTTTTCAACTCATCCGAGGGCTCCAACTACAAAAGGGATTGTTGATGTTCCCATGTACCACATTTTTGAGATTTTGATTTCAAGGTCCTTGTATTTTATTAGCTTTTTGAACATTTTCAAAGATACATTGCAGTCAGCAGGGACTGTCATATCAATAAGGAGGCACTTTTTTTTATTTGCGGTCTCTAATAACAATGTCTGGGCGGTTAGCTATGATTGTTCTGTTTGTGCGTATTGTGTAGTCCCATAAAATTGTAACAAGTCCTATCTCCATAACCGGGTCGGGGTGGTGTTCATACCAATTTCTTTCAATTTCCTTCCTGTAGAAATGGCAGATTTTTCAGTGCAGATATTGGTCCACTCTGTCATGCCGGGTTTTATATTCAGTGGGTGCCAATACCGTGCAACCTGATACAAGATGATCAATTGTTTCTGGATATTTATCACAGAATCTGCATTTTGGGTTAACACAATATTTTAGTATATGTGCTTGATAATTTCTGGTTAACAAGCATTGGTCCTGTGCAGCAAGGATAAAACCTTCAGTTTCAGCTTTTAACCCCGCAGTACGTAGCCACTGATAGGTACGGGGTTTGTCTATATCAGCTTGTTTGGTACGGACAGAGTATTGGCCATTAAACGGTTTATCTTGCCATTGTTTCTGTATCAGATCTATTGCATTTGCTTTCTTTTTTTTAAGTATTTTGGAGCTTTAGTCGGTGTATTGTGCTTTATGTCTATTTCTGTTATTATTATTATTATTATTTGTGTATGTTATGTTTCCTGCTTTGTATCCTGTAGGGCTGGTTTCAAACTATGATCCTTAGGTCCTATAGGCGAATTGTCATTTAATTGATAGCATTTTTCGTAGTATATGGGATGTTTCTAGTAGGGCGATTTTCTGGGCAATTTGTATGTTGATGTCATCTGGGACGCTGTTAGTAAAATTGTCCATTCCTTTGCTCACGAGGCCCAGAGTTCCAATTACTATTGGTACTGCCTCAGTCTTCATTCTCCACATCCTGTTAATCTCGATCTCCAGGTTCTTGTATTTGGGCAATTTCTCGATAATTTTTATGGAGGTGTTTCTCTCGGATGGAACTGCTATATCAATAAGCATGCACTTTCTGAATGTCTTGTCTTTTATGATAATATCAGGTCTGTTGAATTTTTATTATTATTGAAAAAAAAAGGTTCCTCTAAAATTTGTTTTTGGCACATTACTTGCTGAGTGCCAACAATGAACCTGGGGCAAGAAATGGGCAATGTTTTCGTTCGTAAGCTAAACATTCAACAAACAAAAGAAATATGCACAAAATATTCAGCCACATCTTGCCAGTATCTATGTCTATGTCGACAGAACTCTCCGCAATACATGGGATCTGCCCGTAAATGCAATTTTTTTGATTCTTATAAAGATTTCTCCATGAATCGTGTCCAGAAATTCTTCAGTTCATTTCTTAATCATTCCAATTGCCACGTCGACGTGGTGTAATTGTTAACAAGCTTATCTCGCTAGCTCAATTACTACTGAATAGTGAACTCGATCCTCACTGGGCGCCCCTTACTTTCAGCCTTGTGCCATCTCTAAGTTACGTTCAGAAAATCTCCATTCCTACTCTTACAGCTATGGTAATTGTTCTAAGCTGCCAGATGTTTTTTTTTCAATTTCTATTTGTAGGTCTTTGTATTTATTCAATTTCCTGGATTTTTTGATAGACATATTGCGACTGCATGGTACACTCGTGTCGATCAGCAGACTAATTCTGTTTTGGTGATCTTTAGCAATTATATCTGGTCTGTTTGCTTTGATTGCTCGATTTGTGTTGACAGGAAAGTCCCATAAAATAGTTACTTTTTCTCCGTCAATTACAGATTTAGGATGATTCTTGTAACACTGATCTTCAGTTTTAATATTGTATCGCCTGCATATTACCAAATGTAATTACATGCCTGGTTTTGGATTCTTCTGGGGGCCAACACCTTACATCCTTCCACTAAGCGATCTATTGTTTTGTTGCGGTGCTGATAATGGATGTCGACCCCACAAGCTAATTTTTGTTCGAAGAAAGGTGTGAACAAACGAGACAATGAAGAGACAATAGGCAAAGGTTTATTATTTAACCAAACGTCAGTTTTATTTCGTTAAAACGACGTGCGTTATTGGTACAAAGAAAACAGAAAAAGATTTGCTGAATGAAATGTCAAGTTCGGGTAGACTGGTCAGGTAATCTTTTATAAAGCCGTTAGTAGTTAAGTTGATCGTCGCTCGGTTGGTTGGCTTTGAGGTTAGGTAATTGAAGTGTGGTCGAACTGGACGTCGATGACGGGAAGATGAGGTGCAGTCTTGTCTACAGTTTGGATTGAACGTGTTGACGACGTGATGCTGAGGTGCGGTCGCTCTGGTCGTGGCGACAGTCGGACTGGACGTGTCGACGACTGAACGTGTCGACGGTCGGACTGGACGTGTCGACGACTGAACGTTGAGGTGCGGTCGTGGCGACGGTCGGACTGGACGTGGCGACGGTCGGACTGGACGTGTCGACGACTGAACGTTGAGGTTTTGTCGTGGCGACGGTCGGACTGGACGTGTCGACGGTCGGACTGGACGTTCCTTTTTTGACTTAACGTTGAGGTGCGGTCGTGGCGACGGTCGGACTGGACGTGTCGACGGTCGGACTGGACGTGTCGACGACTGAACGTTGAGGTGCGGTCGTGGCGACGGTCGGACTGGACGTGTCGACGGTCGGACTGGACGTGTCGACGACTGAACGTTGCAGTGCGGTCGTGTCGACGGTTGGACTTGACGTGTCGACGACAGCAAGTTCATCATAAGGCCGAGCAGAAACGTATCGGTGATGAGAAGCTGGTCAGTGGCCGCTCAGGAACGTAATCGTAAAACGGGAACTGAAATGGTTGCCTCCTGGCCGTCTACTTCAACGATTCGGATGAGTCATCGGAGATAATCCAACACGAAGTTTGGAAACCTCCTGGCCGTCTGCTTCAACAATCCAGGCGAATTGTCGGAGATGTTCCAACCCGCAGATGGAAATCTCTTCCCTAAACAGGACAGAGTCATGGAGATGATACATCTTCCAAGGCGGACCAAAAAGCAACACTACACACTGATCCTAATATTTATTTGCATAAAAATACAAAATGTGCCACAAGGGCGAAGAGGGGCGTGGGGGAAAAGGACCTATAGTCTTAACTCACAACTAACTAGTCACTCTCATTGAACCATTCGTACTTACAATTTTCCTTTCACAGTAACAACATATTTGCACTTAACTCTCACACCAACGTCACCAAAATACCTCATTTACTCAAAGAAAATTCTAGCATGAAATTTATTTACATAAATTACGGGGCGAGGAACACATGCAAAATCAATGAATATATACAATGTATGTAGAACAATATAAATACGTGTTAGTATCGGGGCCCGCCCCAGAGTGAAAGAGTGGCAGAAATCCTGGTTAACTGGGTGAAATGGACAGATATTGGAAATGTCTGATCTCGCCAGAGAACAAAGATATCTGTCACCTAAAACGGGGGGAGGGGATGGGGAGTAGAAAATAAATGTGGGACAAAAAAAAGGGAGGGACCTATACACCTTCATACCCTTGCTAGTTTTGACAAAGTCGGTCAAAAAACAAAAAAATCTACCTTATCTTAAACCGGATCTGGGAAGACTGATGTTTCGGTGAGCGGCCCAAAATCCTCTTTTCTAAGTCGCATCCAACAACCATTCCAGGTCACCACCTCTGACGCGTACCACTCGCAAAACGCTCACCCAACATTTGCCAAATTTCGACAAAGAGAGACGCACTTTTCCTGCCCTGATCTTAACTTTAAGCTGATGCTTAAAGAAAGAGACCAGCTAGGGAAGAGGAGAATTTCCTTCTGTCTCGTCGTCCATACGACCATTTGCATGATGCCAAGCAGACACAAGAGCACGTACTATTGGTCCCTTGACATTGGCAGTACCACATTGGCACAAACTGAGCTGGAATATAAGGCGAAAAACTTTCCGCCCAGGATGCGAGCCCTGTAGCCTTCAATCAACCTGCACAACGGGTGTACAACGCTACATTGAAAGAAGGCGTGTGCAACGGACTCCTCCAAGTCACCGCTGCGCATGCACTCTGGCGTAACCGCCAGCCCCGCCGCGTAAAGCTTCTACACACTGATCCTAGCCCTCGGGCCGAGAAGCTGCCTTTTCGTTGAAAAAGGGGCCAAATTTATGTTAATAACGTTTGTCCATTTACTCCCTGGCTACTGGGAGTAGAAAACACTAAATATAAAAATACACCGAAGGCTGTTTGTATGTTGGTTAACACTCTCATACCCGATATACTTAACGGTATGTTTCTAACTGAAAACACATCAGAATAGTTGTTTAATTGCTAATTAACTGCTGATTCATTTCTGGGAGTAGAAGGGTTGCAAAGGTCAAGGTCCTCCTATTTGTTTTGTTTAGGTGTGGCCAGCGGTGGCAGCGACAGTTTTACCAAACTGACCGCAAAAGCTGCATTTTGGATCAGTTTCGTTTTAATGTCATTCACTTAATAGTTGCTTGGTAATTATTATTATTTCATTTGATTTCTGTTGTATACACATTTTCTTCCTGGTTCCAATCAAAGACATACGGTTAGAAATGGCTTCATGACATTTTCAACTGATCATTTTTTGTAAAAAACAAACAAATAAACAAACAAAAAAAAAGCTCCTAAGATCAGACACATGTTGCATCGATAAAGCTCATCGTAATGTGGGAGCTGTACTTGTGAGTACAATTTTTGTAATTCTTTAAGGTATGGGCTACCAGGAATCTCTTTAATGAGTCTATCGGAACCTTTTCCAATCAATTCATGGCTCCAACTACAACTGGAATTACTGATGTCCTCATGTATCACATTTCTGAGATTTCCATTTCAAGATCCTTGTATTTTTATAGTTTTTGAAGATCTCCAAAGATACATTACAATCTTCAGTGACTTCCATATCAATAAGAAAGTACATTATTATTATTATTATTATTATTATTATTCGAAAAAATACGATCAGTATAGGAAGAGAAATAGAAATTGAAAAAGGAATAAAAACGTGTAAAGATAAAATGAATTTTATCCTGAAACAATAATGAAAGGAAAAGGCAAAGGAATTTCTACCCTTAAATAAACAATAATTATTATTGATATTTTTCTTATAATAATGGTTAGGAGGACGAAAAGTAGAATTGATAGATGTTTTTATATGCCTGGGCATTGATGAGGGATCAACGATTCAATGAAGAGTCGTTGGTCTAAAATGTTTGGTGAGCCCAGATGTAGAGAAAATCACTATATTACTTTACTAATACTGAATGTGTATTTAAAAAAAATCATTTCGCCTCAAGTAAAGCGATAAAGCTACTAAAACTTAAGGGGCTACTGCGAGTGAAAGAATCTGAGAAAAATTTAAAAAGGCAATAAAAGAAAAAAGACTCAATGAGACAGAATTTGACGATTGACATTGCATTTAAATTTTTGAAGATCAAAGTTGACTGCAAAGCAAGAAGCTGGAAGGAGAGTTTCACACACGAGAAGTACGAAAGAGGAAGCTGTAATCATAGAACTTATGGTTACAGCTAACAATTTCAACTGTAAAATGATGGGACCTATCTGCCAATCTAGTCGCGGTACCAAAGAGGAGGGCTCATCAGAACAGTTACCATTATTTACAATTATTTATAGAATACTAATGTGGACTTAAGGTGGACACGAAAAATAATTTTTTAGTAGATTGTTGCTTCTGTCCGAATTTCTGGGATAAGGAGTTACTGTTATATTTACATGGCGGCTAAATGTCCCAATCTTTGTTTTTTAATAATCATATTAAAATTTATAATAAGAACAAAGATGAAGATTAATATTCGAAATGTAAATATTAATAGAGATTTTGTTGTTTTAACATTCACAAATGCGGGGCTTGTTACAAAACACTGTCCGGGGTCCCGAAAGACCAAGCCTGATTGGAGGTCCCGGGCAGTGCTTTGTGACCCTCGCTATCTTATCAACATTTGCTTTTTTCTACTTACATTTATATACGTTACAAGTTAAACAAAGCACAACTGACTACTAAAGGATGAACAATTTTCGCGGATTTTGACGTCTATTTTTTGTTCAAATCCGTGAATTTGTTTTGTTCATGCTAAGTGTTCACACACACACACACACACACACACACACACACACACACACTATATATATATATATATAAAATTCATTATTTTTTATCCATAGTATTGAATGTGCTAAAATTATTCAACTTTTTACCTAGAAAAATCTCAAGTTAATGTTAAAAATTGCCGCAAAAAACGTTGTTGATTTATTTAAGATGGAATGATGATATGTCTCTAACTTGAATTTATTGTATTTATTTTCAATCATTCACCTATACTGCATGTGATCCATTATTGTACATAATTAGGTTACAATAAAATTTGTATTTTATATGAATACTAGCTAATGAAATTTAAGATATAGTAGAGTGGGAGTCCCCGTCCGGCGTGGGGTGTAGTCACAAGACTCTTGCACCAGCCCTCCACAAATTAAGATGTTTTATTTCATATTTTATTTTACTTTAGATATTACGATAAAAAAAAAATCTTGAATCGGGAGGACACAAAACATGGTTAAGAAAAATGCGAGCCAATATTAACGATACAAACGTTCAGTCTAGAAACGCAAAATGAAGACTCTTCCAGGAATTTGTGTGCGTGTGTACGAAAATTAGGAAAGAAAGTCGCGCCCACACAGGCGGAGACATGCCTTAAGTGTTTGGAGGTAGCCAGCCACTCATACAGCTGTGAAAACAGATGCGTTTTTACGAAGAGTTTAGCTTTAGCAAGATTAAAAGAAAATTATAGTTACTTTGTTTGTGAGGCACCTTGCCATATGGGTTTTTAAAAAAATATAAAATTCAGATTTCAAAATGGAAAATAAAATTTGTTGAAAGTGCTAACTCTTTACTTGTAAAATCGGCGATGCTGTAGTTGATAGATTTGTGTTTATATTTTAAATACCAGAGTAGTGCAGCTTATTACCTCTCCTTGGAGGGGGCCGGTGTCATTATTCGGCGCCTGAAGCGTCCCCAATAGGGGAAATGCCAAAGGAGCTTTAGCAGTTTTTAAACGGTTTGCTAAATCCCACACTAAACTCAACTTTGTGTCACATTCTGTTTACGACGTGGGCGTACGGATTAATAATGCCTACATTCACCAATAAAATGTTCACTGACCAACGAAAATTCCTTTCACATAGTACAGTGTAACCCGGATATAAGAGACCCGGATATAAGAGAGATTTTCTCTGGCCCAAAATTAGAACCTGTGTTACCTAAACAAATAGACCAAACCCGGATATAAGAGAAACCCGGATATAAGAGACTTCTTCTCCGGTCCCGACAACTCTCTTATATCCGGGCTACACTGTATTTTAACATGCAGTTGGTGTGTTTATTTCAAATATGAATGTCCACTATAATAACGTTTGAAGTAATAAAAATATCGGATTAAAAATAGATCCATTAATTTTTTAGAAATTGCTTTGTTTACGTTTCGTATACGAAGCTAAGCAGATATATGAAGCTTTCGAGAAAAATAATCAGAGCAAAAAGGATAGGCTTTCCTTAAAAAAACAAAAAAAAACAAATAATGCTTTGTTTAACTGTGACGTTAAAACACTTTGGGTCAAACACTGGTTTCTCCTCTTTACCTTATTTATCCTCAAAAATACCAACGCATTTTCCTTCTACACAGTTCTGATTTTCATTCTAGCCTGAACAAGC